ACACGTGTTTGTCGCGGTGTTATAGCGGAGAGCCTTCACACTGAGTAAACACCGCGACAGCAGCGGGACTGTCCCGCTGCTGTAGCTAGGCGTCCCTAGCGATAGTTTGTGTCGGCGTTATCGCTAGGCGGTGTTATCCCGCGATAGTTTATAACGGGTCCGAGCCTTCACACTGAAGACAACACCGCGACAGCAGCGGGACAGTCCCGCTGCTGTCGCGGTGTTTGAGGCCACTGTGAATGGGGTATCAGCAGTGTAAGGCACAAGGTACATACAAACAGGCGCGCCGGAAGCAGTTTGGGACTGGGGGGGGGGGGGGGGGGGGGGGCAAACATTCCAGGGGGCTCACATTCCAGGGGCAGTGACGTAATGAGAACAAAAGTTCGGAAGGGGGGGGCAGACGAAAAATCTGCATCACCACCAGTCTTACACGTTACATGCAGGTCCCGCGGAAGGTTTTTCAAAGTGGAGTATTATCGATCAGGTAGAGCGTAAATTGGCGTGCGGTCCAGGCATGAGCCTCGGCAGGGGGGTCAAGGGGCTGTGCCCCCGGAAGCTCAGGGGTTTTAGATATTTGATTAAGGTCAGATGAGCATCCAGGGGGCCGCCTTAGGGCCCTTGGTGGGGTCCAGGGGGGCAAAGCCCTGGAAGCTCAGGGGTTTGAGGTATTTAATTACGGTCAGATGATCTACCAGGGGCCCGCCTTAGAGCCCTTGTTGGGGTCCAGAGGGCAGAGCCCCTGGAAGCTCGGGGATTTTAGGTATTTAATTAAGGTCAGAAGAGCATCCAGTGGGCCGCCTTAGGGCCCTTGGTGGGGTCCAGGGGGCAAAGCCCCCGGAAGCTCAGGGGTTTGAGGTATTTAATTACGGTCAGATGAGTTTCCAGGGGCCCGCCTTAGGGCCCTTGATGGGGTCCAGGGGGCAGAGTCCCCGGAAGCTCAGGGGTTTTAGGTATTCAATTACGGTCAGATGAGCATCCAGAGGCCCGCCTTAGAGCCCTTGTTGGGATCCAGTGGGCAGAGCCCCTGGAAGCTCGGGGATTTTAGGTATTTATTTACGGTCAGATGAGCATCCAGGGGCCCGCCTTAGGTCCCTTGGCGGGGTCCGGTGGCGGAGCCCTCGTAAGCTCTGGGGTTTTAAGCATTTAATTACGGTCAGATAAGCATTTTTATGCCTCCGTTACGAAGTAGCCGGAGGCATTATGTTTTCGGGTTGTCCGTCCGTCCGTACGTACGTCCGTACGTACGTCCGTACGTCCCGTTCTCGTGATCGCGTTATCTGAAGAACCGATTGATGGATTCCTGCCAAACTTTGGTCATGTATGTATCTTGCAGAGCCGATGAACTGATTAGATTTTGGGGTCACGAGGTCAAAGGTCAAAGGTCACGGGGCTCATTATGTATGCAAAAACAGCTCGTGATCGCGTTATCTGAAGAACCGATTGATGGATTCCTGCCAAACTTAGGTCATGTATGTATCTTGCAGAGACGATGAACTGATTAGATTTTGGGGTCACGAGGTCAAAGGTCAAAGGTCACAGGGCTCATTATGTATGCTGAAACAGCTCGTGATCGCGTTTTCTCAAGAACCGATTGATGGATTCCTGCCAAACTTAGGTCATTTATGTTACTTGCAGAGCCGATGAACTGATTAAATTTTGGGGTCATGAGGTCAAGGTCAAAGGTCATGCGGCTCATTATGCATGCAAAAATAGCTTGTGATCGCATTATCATTAGAACAGATTGATGGATTCCTCCCAAACTTAGATCATGTCTGTATCTTGCAGAGCCAATGAACTGAGTAGATTCTTGGGTCATGAGGTCAAAGGTCATGGGCTCATTATGTATGACATATGTCATTATTTGTGACATTGGGAGGTCATTTATTTTTTTCTCCTTTTTTTCTTCTTATTTCTTTAACATACTTTTTCAAAAAGGAGGGGTGGGGGGGGGGGGTTGAGCCCAGCTACTTTGCAGACCATGACATAAAGGCTTTTAAATTAGCGTATTTCGCCTGACTGTAATTTGGGAATTTCTTATTTTCCAACAAACGCATATAAAGGTATGACTTTAACAAAAAATGGAGAAAAAATGTCGGAAAATCATGTCACAACATCAACATTTGTAAATCACTTGTTTCGAATAAGGAATACATGACCCCCCCCATCAGTACGCCAGCGTTCATGGGCTCATGTCTTCTCACCCCTATAACAAAAAAACGGACACGCTTTCCCATTCTCGCACAATATGTCCACGATATGCGCGTATCGCTATTATAGAGACCTCCATTGATAAATACCCGGTGGCATGCGCGATGTTTATGAAATTTAATTCCTGTGAACTTTCCTTTTCTTTGAATGGAATTGTATATGTGATTTAATTCAGGTTTTTATTATTGTTACGTTCTTTTGGATTAAAAATACAAACCATGTTTACTCCTTTACTGTTTTTGTTTGTTTTTTTGGAGGGGGGCGTTTTTTTTTTTTTTTTTTTTTTTTTTTTTTGGGGGGGGGGGGGGGGCAAAATGCGTTTTGCCCCCCCCCCCCACTTTTTTGACTGGGGGGGGGGGCAACTGCCCCCCCCACTTCCGGCGCCTATGCATACAGATATGTGTGTGGGACTATGAACGGGCTTGATTTTTTATGTTACTGAAATGTGCTCAGAATTCAAGTAATTCATCTATTAAATGACTATAACAGACTAGAAACAAGTCAAAGGTAAGGACAAGAATCAGTGCCTATCAATATAACAGAAATGTTGCATGAAATACCATCAGGAAAGCTATCTAAATTTGTCAGAAATTAGCGACAAACACAACAAATTCAGCGCTGCAATGACGCACAAAACGGCGTAGAATTCAACTTTTCATCCATCAAATGAATTCAAACACTTGCATTATACAATATTCGATACCTGTATCACCGTTATCGCAAGCAATAAAATCACAATCTATATCTAGACCTAGAGCTACGGCTAATAATAAGACCAATTCATTCACTACCCTTTTGGTGTTCTTGCTGTCTAGCGACCAATTCTTCGTCGAGTATGGTATCCGCGATCGCTCAAACCAGTTTTTAAGCAAGACTGAACTATTTCCGGTAACTTGAATTTTACCCTCTAACTATGACATGGGCGTGGCACTTTTCGTTTATTTACGGGAATGGCTAAAACCATGACTGCAATTTCGACCAATCAGATGGCTGGATTTCTTCAGTGAGGTATATAATTCAATATACGTTCTTTCCGTACCCGACTTGAGGCTGTGTGTATGTATTGTATGAGCCGTCCGTCCGTTCTTCTTTTGTAACAGACGGATGCGTTTGGAAGCATTCGTTGTTAAGGCTTTAAGCATTGATAATTTTCTCACCCCCTCCCTTCCGCATTTGCTATCCGTCTACGGGTTAAAGAAAACAAACAGACAATGACACCCCCCCCCCAGAAAGGAAAAAACACCGCTCTTGTTTACCGCGTCATATCTGAGAGAGCATTTAATACCGTGTTACCATAATAACGATGTATAGTATTACCCTATGACACTATTAACCCTAAAAAGACTGGGTTATTTTTAACCTTTAAAAAAACCGGGGGAGGGGGCTTAAAGGCCTCCCCCCCCCCCCCCCTAGGATCTCGGCAATCGAAACTCTAAGCGACTCCAAATTTTGCATGGTGATAAATATCTATGAAATCTACAATATTGCATAGTTAAAATATTTTAATTAGAATATGTTAATTGGAGCTAATGAATTATGCAAACATTTTTTACTTCCTTATCTTGGAGCGCTGGTTTATTTGTCTTTTGTATAGTTTGTCATTTGATCTAAATGATGCATACATTTTTTAAAGTAATTATTCTAATTAGTACTAATATATATATTTTTAAATATTTATATTTTCAATTGACATAATCATATACACATTAATAATTACTGTCAGAAGGTTTTGACATTATACAGTGAGATACATTTGGCTTGAGCCTGGTCATAACAAATTAAATAGGAAACTTGAAACATTTATGTCATAAACACACATAGGAATTGCAAAGGGTTGTGTTCATTGCAAATTAAGCCATATACCATTAGCAAATGCAATGTATTTACTTAGATCAGTAATATATAAATTTTCACTTCTCACTGTTACTGAAACTTTCATTAAAATTGATTTAGTTTTTCCGTTTTCTATGTTTTTCCTTGTTTTTATTTTTAACTTAATTTTCTTTGTATTATTCTTGGTATATTGTACTGTTTTATGTAAATGAGAATGCGATACGTTTTTCACCATACCAAATGGGAATACTAACAGTAAATGTGAAAAAATGGGTATAAAACTTAAAATCAAATTTCTGTTTGTTATATGTGGAAGAATTTTTTTAAAGAGAAAAAAAGAAAGAAGAGTTTTCAGTGATACACGATTGCAAAAAAAAATGTTACAAAACAACCGGACCGTTGATCCGGTGTGCGCAAATTTGGTATCACAAGATGCGCAAGACTCTACGGGAAAGGTCATGAAGTGTCATCGTACAACATCTAAGCATTACGAAGTAATCACGAAAATAGGGGAGGGGGTAAACCACCCCCCAGTCGTTTTAGGGTTAACGTATAACCGTTTTTCCTTATTACCCTATAACTGTATGATCGTATTACCGTAGGGCCTTTTACCGTATTACAATGAACCATTATGACTGAATGACGGTAGTACAGGAAATCACGTGTTACTGTATGTTAGCCTATTAGTAACATATTACCGTATTACGTGTTCCGACGTAGTTCCATATTACCGTACCATTGGGGAATCCCGTACATTGAAATGTGTCCAATACGGCAACCCCCACCTCCCTCTCTCTCCCTTCCTCTATTACTTTCATGTACCAAACAAAACAAAACAAAAACTTTTATTGATTTGATTATTTCATAATGTAGTGATACCACGAGGAACCATATTTGGATGAAATAAAATAATAAATATCGTGTACAAGACACATTGCATGGGATCCCCCTATTAGGTCCTACATACCTGCGTCTCGGGAGTAGCTGCCAAGGGCCAGGGTGTAATTTGCGACCTCGTCCGCAATACTGAAATTGCTGTAGGTGGCATAGCGCGTATGTCCTTCGAAGTCTTCGAGATCGATCCGGAGCTCGTAGGTCTTCTGACGGGAAAGACGGTGGATGTTGTCGTTACCTAGCCAGTGCTCGGAGGAAACGTTTCCAAAACCGTGTTTGTAGTTGGACCAGAAAAGAAAGAAGTCAACAGAACCATCCTGTCTACGCTGGAAGACCTACAAAGATAGAGAGAGAGAGAGGGGGAGAGAGAGAGAGAGAGAGGGGGTGGAGAGGGAGAGCGAAAGGAAGAGAGAGAGAGAGCAAAAGAGGGAGAGTGATAGGGGGCTAGAGAGAGAGAGAGAGAGAGAGAAAGAGAGAAAGAGACAGATAGAAAGAGAGAAAGTTAAAGAGAGAGACAGACCGACAAACAGAAAAAGGGAGAGAGAAAGGTGAAAGAGAGGGAGAAAGAGAGAGGAAAGAGAGAAAGAGAGAGTGTGTTTATGTGTGTGTGTGTGTGTGTGCGTGTGTGTGTGTGTGTACGTGTGCGCGCGTATGGGTGTGTGTGTCTGTGTGTTTATTGAGAATTAATTCAGAACATGATAGCAGCCATTGTGCATGGCTGAAATTAGATGCATAAAAATCATTTACATTCAACAGTCACAGAGATTAGACAATAGTCATGAAGATTTTGAGTTAGTTAATGGATGTATTCCAGTTATTTGAGACATTGGGATCCGATTAGGTCATTTGAATATAAATTCCTTCCTGCTAAAATAGATCATTTGAGATTCAAGGTTAATCAATGTCCCTTTGATATTATTACGATATCAGAGTCCCACTGTGACATGACGATATTGGACAACGACATTCATATCGATAGCTTTGATATTATACGCAAAGACCGTACGAGACATGGTGGTGGAGTGGTAATATACATTAAAAATAATATTCACTATTTTCAATGTTTAGATTTGGAGACAGAAATTGAATGTTTGTGGATACGGATGAAATGCAATTTCCTTACTAAACCAGTTTTATTGTGTACTTTGTATAGGCCGCCAAATTCACCTCTTGAATTTTTGACAGGCTTGATGACATGTTGAATAACGCAATCAATCGAAGTGAAGAAATCATTATACTTGGCGATTTTAATTGTGATCTACTCTCTTCGAATTGTGATTCATCTACTCAAAGATTAAAGTCAGCTATGACAGGATTTCTCATGCACCAAATGATTAAGTCACCAACACGTTTACATTGGTAACGCAAATTTTGAAAGATCGTATTTACACTAGCTGTCCGGAAGAACATATTAAATGTGGTATTATAAAAACCCATCTCAGTGACCACTTTATGGTATACAGTGATTAGCAGTAATACACATAATGAAAGTAGAATGAATGTGATAAAATATCGTAGTTATACTAAGTTTAAAAAAGACGATTTCCTCGGTTCGTTGTTTATAATGCCTTTTCAAACCATTTTGTCCATGACTGATGCAACGGAGGCCTGGTACAAGCGCTTTGCTATGTTTATGGCAGCTGTTAATATGCATGCCCCCCCCCCAAAAAAAAAAGAAGTGTATGCGATTCAACCCTTTTCCTGGGTTACAGGTGCCATTATCGAACTAATGAAAAGACGTGATTCGTACTATAGACAAGCTATAAGAAGTGGTAGTAATTCTATTCTACAAATATAAACAAGTCCAAAATATTATTACTAAAAAGGTTTGAGCATATAAATAGATTATTGCAAAATAAATTTGGTAATACAAATCCACTTTGGAGCACCTTAAAGGTCATTACGAAAGCAAGGCCGAGAAATGAAATCAGTCTAGAAATTAATAATAAATAATAATAATAATAATAGCCTAATAGTCCACTCCAAATTTTATTAAACCGAAACGGAAATTCTTTTTGCCCAATTGATCGTGAGCCCGGCAGCCACTGAGCAGCGCCAGATCGACGTTGCTCTATCCCTTATTGTTGAACGCCAAACAAGGTAGCAACAACTCCCATCTTTTAACGTCTTTTGGTATGACGCGGCCGGGGTTCGAACCCACGACCTCCCGGTTGTGAGGCGGACGCTCTACTGACTGAGCCAACACTCCGGTGATGATGGTGACACTGTTTCAAATCCACTTTATCGAATCCATCACACATTTGACTACTAATGATGTAGATGGTATGGAAGGCTTTGGAGAAGTAAGAAGAAATGAGAGTCAGAATGTGTATAATGATTCAAATGCAGAACATGATGGCGATGATAAATTTCATCTCCCATACATTACGTCTGAGTTTGTTTTTAAAGAATTATCTAAAATGTCGTCTAAGAAAGCAACAGGTCCTGACGGTATGCCAACTAAACTACTTACACTTATATGTGAGGTCCTGATTTTGATTGAAAGCCTAACCTACATATTTAATTTATCTTTATCAACTCAGTCCGTGCCCGAATCCTAAAATTAGCTCAAATTCACCCCAGCCGTAAGTCTGGGATCAAAATTAAAGTTGAGAATTATAGCAATGTAGATAAGGGAATTGTTAATGGTCTTGCTTTTATTGATTTTAGAAAAGCTTTTGAGACGGTAAATCACTCAATTCTACTACATAAACTTGCTCAATAGGGTTGTTCTGAACAGAGCATACGTTGGTTTCAGTCCTATTTAGTAAAGCGAAAGTAATTCGTTACCATTCAAGGTAAATTCTCGGTTAAGAGGGATGTTCGCTCAGGCGTGCCTCAGGGCTCGGTAGTAGGGCCGCTTCTATTTATTATTCTGATTAATGATCTACCCAAGTATCTAAATTCATGTAGTGTGTATATGTTTTCAGACGATGCAACACTGTCTGTAAGTGGAACATCTATCCAAGATATTAAAAATAAACTGAATCACACAATGTGTAAACTCCATGAATGGACATTGATGAACAAAGTGATTTTAAACACAGACAAGACTAAGGTCATGTTGGTGGGTTCAAACCAAAGGATTAGTACTTATGATGATGCGACCTTAAAGGTAGATGTAAACGGTAAGCGACTGGTCTGGAGTGTGTCTCAGCCTATAAATGTCTGGGTGTTACCATTGACGAAAATCTCACATTTAGTAAACATGTTGAAAACATTTCCCTCTTAATTAAACAGAAACTGGGAATTGTACGCAGGCTCCGTGAATCTTTAACTCAATATCGACTAAAACAATTGTACTGGGAATATTACCGCATGCTCTTTATTGCTGTACTGTACGGTCTAGTCGATATAAATATAATGTCGATATGCGAAATAAACTTCATAAAAGAGCAGATTATACTAATTCTAGACAGTCTTGGCACATTCCGTCGCAGCAGGTCTTGGATGACCTAAAATGGCCAACTCTAAATGAATTGTTCGACAAGGCCACTTGTTGTCTGGTTTTTAAATGTATTAATAATTTAGCTCCTCCAGCTATGTCTGATCAATTTGTACGACTAGATGATGTTATGCAACGCACAACTCGAAATAGTAACAATAATCTGTTGAAACCTTTTAAGTGCAATACTATATTTTATTCTAACACTTTCGTGAATTATGGCGTTAAAGTGTGGAACACACTTACAGTGAAAGCCCGACTTTGTTTAACTCTCAATGTATTTAAACGGATGATATCAGAGAAGTAACATGTTTTTAAATTTTCTCAAACTCATTTTAAATTTGTATCTACTAAATTGGATCTGGGAGATTTATAGGTTCTCTGTCAATTTTATCATGAATCCTCTGTGTTAGAGAACATTCTAAAATCTGACCTTTCTTGCCCTTTTACAATATTATATGAGCGGTGTCTCACTTCCTGTTTTTTAATACAAGGTCATTTTAAGTTCTTATTGTATCATTATTAACCTTTAATATGGTCCCATTCTTTTCTTAATCATGATAAATGATGTTGCAACCTCTACTCCTCTGAGATGGAAATATGTTGATGATTTGAGTGTCGCTGAAATCATATTGTTAGTTTTACTTGTTTATCATTGTGCTTTGATGTTAATATGCTTTATTTATTCAATTTGTTGTCTTTTTCTTCCTTCTGTTATATGTATGATTTTGTTTTGAGAAATTTGTATATATGTGTATTTTTATTGAGACAGGGCCTTATGGAAGACAACTTTTAATCTGAATGAGATACCCTGTATAAATATGTGAAATAAATAAATAAATAAAATGTATAACACTTGAGAGAGGCAGGATGGAAAATGCGATGTGTGTCATCGAATTTTCATGAATTTAGTTTTAAAAAGTGTAGCAACACGAAGGAGAGTAGCTGTTATCACATTTCGCTCCATTTAAAAGGATACGCAGTCTAGATTGTGGGCTAAGAATGCGTGGGTAACGACTTTAACAAAATAAACAAAATCACTATCAATGACCATGCTGCATTTCCAATTCTGCTCTTCATGAGGGCCTTTTAATTTACACCAGCAATTTCCAGGTACCCCATTTACACCTGAATGGAGAGTGGAAAATGTGCATGAATAAAATGCGATATAGGGTATATCGCCCCTGAGTTGATTCTTAACATGATCCATTTTTCGGAAAATCAACTAAAGGACAATTTTAAAACCCTATGTCCCATAGAATATTTTGTTGTATTACGTAATACTTCATTGTAATGTTCGCAAGTATCATTGGGTGAGGCACAAAACAAGGTTCATTTTTCGAAGATAGTTGCTACCGTGTTTCTTGAAAATCTTTGCGATCATGTTCAAAGTGGATAAGGTTAAAAGAGATGAAATTCTAGCTATCATCATTTCTCACCGTCCAGCGGCCACCGTCCGTTTCCATGTCACAGTAAACGAAGAGAGGGTCATCTCCAGCTCTATCGGGATAGATGGGATACACTCCACTGAGATGGGATAGGCCACCAGTCTGAATCTCTGCACAGTCACGTGGGAGGCTAGGAACTGATAAGAAATACAAAGGTGTCGTCATTGAGGGAATTGAATTTCAGTGGACCGGCCTCTCATAGGAAAAGGTCCCGGATTCGATCCTTGCTTGGTACTTACATCCTTGGACAAGGTTTACTTCGACCCACTCAGGGAGATATACATGTCTTGAATTTGTAATTGGCCATATATTCTACACGGTGTAATAAATGGGCAGCTGACTGGTTCTAAGTAAAGACGTTCTTGAATTGTGTGAGCTCCGAAATCGATAGCCTAGCCAATATAAATAATAACTTCGGTAATAGCACCTTTCATGGTGGATGAAAGACCTAGACAAGAATCCAATATCAGTATTGTTCAACGTAGTATAGGGAGGGTGTCATACTAAAAAGGCAGTGTAAAGGCCGGCTCACATAGTAGCGGCAAAGACCCCACGAAAGGCGACGGACGTAACAATCACAACATATTGGCGGCAAAGCGACGGCAGATGGGGAAAACCAAGATTCGCTGACGGATGGGAACGACCTTCATCGACAACACGACGACGAGGGACGAATAGCTGCGGCAGTGAACGGAGTCTTGCGACCAAAATCGGACGTTGTCTGGGCGGCGGGTGACGATGTCTCGACGGAGCCCGGCAACAATGAATGAGGTCAGACGGCTGGCAGCGAATTGGCTGGCGGCAAGGAACGGCGGCTGACGGTTCATGTGCAAGGAGTATAACGTGCTTATAACGCCGGACGTTAAATGGGAGGTGTAATTCGCTTGACGTATGACTGCGTTAACGACCTGCGTGCGTCGTATGAGGGTTACACCTTATATACAATAATTGTGAAATGACGATTGCATTGAATTAATGAATTATAAATTAATAGCCATCATAGATTTGATTAAAAATAGCACAGTCCTACGTCAGTAAAGTGAAACCTCATGTGCAACGGAATCATATCTTGTTCTTGGTAGGATTCCTCCAAAAGACGCCGCAAAGGTGTTTAAACTGGAGGTGGTATGATATGATATGCTCACCGGCCGTGGCGGTGACTTGCGTCATTTTGGCTGGTATGATCGTAGACATGTCCGTGAAGTCAGTCATAAGTGATGGTGCTTCTGTCGAGACACAAGATTAATAAAAATCATTGAATTATAATAAAACAGAATCATCTATAATAATAATACGCTAAGGCTCCGCGGGGGGCGCGACGTCTCCGCCGGCCTTTGTATTCTATTGTTTTTTAATGAGATCGCCGACCCAAGTTGGTGCAGCTATCTCCTCCTGAACCCTCCCCTCGGGGTACCCGTGCCCGGTACCATCGTCCGCGGGAGAGTCTACTCTAGCGAATTGGCTATACTCCGCCCGAGGTCCTCCTCCGTGTCGACGTCCAGGGCGAAAACAGACGCGACATGCATAATGCAGGATATGCGTGACGACAGAGATACCTCATGGATATTCAACATGACATCCGTAGACACACGACCGATGACTATCCACTCACATTAAGTTGCGTATTAAATGCTCTATGCAAAGGGCGGGATTACCGAGAGTAAAGTATCTTTCTATAGGATGTGCTTTGTTGTAGCTAGGATGTGCTTTGCATGTAGTAGCTTGCACAAGAGATACACGGGGCTTCCCGTCGACGTCCAAACTTAGAGACCTATTTCCATCATGATTGCCGCGATTTTTATATAGTTTTCGTGAATGGAGGTATGAAATCAAAGCTTATTTTGTGATTATTACGGCCATGTATACTCAATTTTGATTATCATTTTCTAAAAGAAAGTTTTGACAAGAAAACCATTGGACTGACAATTCAGTCGCAAGCTAACTTCAGTCACCACACATCACAGTGCAGTAACTCCAGGAATCTCCAACACCGGCACCGGGCACCGCAGGCGTCCGAGGCCTGCGGCGCCGGTGTTCGAGCTTCATGGAGTTACGCTGGAGTGTTATGTGTGTGAGTACAGCTGAGCTGAGCTCGAGTCGAAGAGATTTGACACTTTGAAATTGTTATCTGTTGGTTTGCATGATTATTGCCGCGATTTCAATATAGTTTCGTGAATAGATTTACGAAACCTGAGCTTAGAATTAGTAAAAGTATTACTAATGTCTACGTTTTTAAACTACTGTCTGATTTTCTTGTGAAAATTTTACTTTGAAAAATAATTATCGAAATTTATGGTCAGAAATAATCACAATCTAGGGTCTATTATGTTACAGTTCTTGCATCAAATCAATGCATGAAAACTTAGTTATTGAACTAGAAAAATGTTTTTTTTTTTAAATAGACAATTATGAAGAAGGAAACCTGAAACCCTGAGTTGAGTGTATATTTGTTTCAAGGGGCCATAAACCCCCAAAAGCTCGGGGGTTACGTTCTTCAAAGTTGGGGGGGGGGGGGGGGGGGGGGAGAGATCAGATCGCAGCGAGTTGAGTGTATATACAATATAGGCGTGGGGTCCACGGGTTTCAAGGGGCCATAGGTTTTAGGCGTTTAATTAGGGTCAGATGAGCATATTTTTAATACTTTATTTGTGACACTTGCGGGTCACTAATTGGCGTGGGGTCAATACGTAGAGTTGCGTAGTGTTGCTACCAACTACGCTGGCCTACGTTACTATATGCTGAGGGACAGAAAGGGGTACACAAGATGAACGAAAACAAGTCAACATGTGTAATTTTTTTCGCGTACTTTCAGCGTAGAAACTTGACGCAGAAAGTACGCCTTTTTACGCAACACTATGCTACCCTACGCCAGATCGTCAAAGCAGTAAAAGCTTTCCACACAGTAAGCAACCATATAAGCAAACCTGTACTCCAGCCTACGCATAACCTACGCAGGGACTATTTTCCCATTAATACGCAGCCTAATTTCTGCGTAGTCGGTACGCCACACTACGGAACTCTACGCAGTTCCAGTGGCTTAAAGAATAACTACCGGTACAGTTGGATCGTTTTTTTTTTTTTTTTTTTTATATAAGGCCAAATTTAAAAAAAAACATGTTTAGCGTCCTGTTTTTTCTGAAAAATGGGAAGGAGGAGGCCCTTTTTTCTTTTTTTTTTTTTTTTTCTTTCAAAATGGCTGCTCCGTACATTTTCCCTGACATTCAGGCTTTTTTTCAAGATGGCAGCCGAGAATTTTTTTCTTTTCTTTTTTAAGATCAGAAATACATTTTAGCAGTGCTTTTCATGTTTTTTTTCTTTAAAAAAAAAAAAAAAAAAAAAAAAAAAGCAAAAAAAAAAATTCAAAAAAAAAAAAAAAAAAATAGGAGAGGCGGCCCCCAGAAAGGAAGTGGGTGGGGACGCTGTTTTTTTTCTATCAAAAAATTTCAACAAAAAAAAAAATTCAAAAAAATTTCAAAAAAAAAAAAAATAGGAGGCGGCCCCCAAAAAGGAAGCGGGCGGGGAAGCTGTTTAAAAAAAAAAAAAAATATATAGGAGGTGGCCCCCAAAAAGGAAGCGGGCGGGGACGCTAAACATGTATATTTTTTTAATGGCCTGAATGGCAAATAAAGTTCTCGGTGGTTTTAATTTACCGGTAGACAGTCTCTATATATCTATTTACACCCCCCGCCCCCCTCTAGAATCCCGCGGATTTCCGCGGGTCCTGCTAGTAATGATAATAATAAAACAAAATCATCATCATAATACGAGGAAGAAGGAGAACAAGAACAAGAACGAGAAGAACGATAACAACCAAATTGGCTTTGCCCCCTACCCTAGCCCCCGCTGCGTACAGTCATGGTTCAGTGACAAAGCAATTGCCTCTTAACTGTGAGGCCCCAGGATCAAAACCGTGTCGATGTGCTATATTAATGCCCTTTTGTGGGGCATTAACCCTCATTACTGTCATTTATGACTTAAGGGCGTAGGTCCCCTAGTAGATAAGCATAGTAGCATACACATGTTTTAGCAGTCACGCTAAACACACATTGGTAAATTATTATTCAATAAAATCTGTGAATGTATACTATTATCTAGATCTATTATTTTAAATTATTTTTAAAATAATGCCATAAATTGGGGTAAAACATAAATATTCCAACTATATGAACGACAGTGTAGTAGTAATCTTCCGTATCAGGGCTCTTACTTTTATTCTCAAGATACCTTCTTCTACTTTCTGCACATTCAAACTTTCTGAACCATAAACCATCGCTACTATTAGGTCTACTGCTATGATTTTTTTTCTCTTTGCCTCTTAGAGGTGTTTATTCAATATTCAAACAATAACATAATTTTGCTTACAATTCAGCAAATCAATGGAACATCAATAATACACAAGTTATTTATTCAAATATAACTAAGCAAATTCGCAGGAAATTTCATATTTTGTACTTTCAAATGTTCGTTTATTTCTATTCTGTTAGTCATTTCTCTCTTAAATAAGTAAATCAAACTCAAATCTCTATTATCATACCCATACTTATTACGAAAAATAATCATTTTATAAATCGACCAAAAAGCAATAGTCATTATCAAATCGATTTCGGTTTGCGAATTCATTTTGAGTAATAAAACAATATCTATCTCTATTCTAAGATTGAAAGCACGTGAAAATAAGTCCTTTAAATATGCAAAGAAAGTTTCATTTGCCTTACATGAAATGAAAGCATGAAGCACATCTTCAGTCTTTTTGCATTTTAAACAAAGGTCATCGTATGAGAGACCCCACTTGAACAGATTGTTACGAACTGGTAACATATTCCCTACTGCTACTGCTATGATATTCTTCTAAACTCACATGATATTAAAAGAATTGGAAAGGTCACAAAATAATTTTTTGTTTTGTTTTAAACCTATATCAGAACCCAATTTTTTTGATATATTGTTCTCACGCTCATCGCAATGTTTTCCTTGAAATCCAGGTGAACAGTGGCATAGATAACTTTCCATAGTCTCCTCACACCAGCCGTTTGCACAGAGCTTCTTGTCACAATCTATCAAAGATAAAGGATGTAAACTTAGTTTGTGTGTTTGTGTGTATATACATATTTGTTTGAGTGTGCGTGCGTGTGGGCGTGTGTGTGTGTGTATGTGCGTGTGTGTGCGTGTGTGAGTGTATGTGGTCATTTGTATGTCTATGAGACGGGTGAGCATGTTTTGGTCTTGCGTTTTAATTGCATACTCAATCAAACAGAGAACCAACGACTTCATATAGAACCTGCACGAAAATGGAAATAAGAAACTGCCAGCTTTCATCTGTAAAAAGTATCTTTTCTCTCTCTCTCTCTCTCTCATACTGTCATTCCATAAAAAAATGCACTTGTACTTATACTTGAATAAAATCAATCTATCAATTATTCAGTCATTCATTCAATTTTCGCGTCCATGAGGTGCAGGCATAGGCCTTATAGTTCGTATCACGAGAATTACCCCTATACAACCATCGCCCGGAAAATTAACCCCTAGAGCAATACCCCCCTCCCCCCACCCCCCACCCCCATCCCAGAAAATTACACCCGAGGATAATTACCCCACCCCCGAAAATTACCCCTGTTTTTAAAATGGAAGTCCACCCTGAAAATAAGTTGATTTTAATGAAAACCGAAATTGTAGGGTGGTAATTGTCAACGGAAGGGGGGGGGGGTTGATTGCCAAGGGGGTGATTTTAGGGGGGCAATATATCCTCGGGTCGTAATTATCCTAGGGATGGTTGTCCGAGGGGGGTAATTTTACTTGGGGGGGGGGGTAATTGTCCTTGGGTGGTGATTGTCCCGCTGGTAATTGGCCGGTGGTGATTATCCAGGGGGTGATTGTCCTAGAACCGTTTTTCCTGTGACCCAAAATAGTTCAGTTAGGAAATCACTTTGTGTGGGCGCTGATTATGGAAGGGAGACTGACCATATTAGTAAGGGTCTTTTGAGACATTAGGGCGTTTCAAAAAAGACTTAAGATGGACTGGAAATATTGCAGGCCTTTGGAGGGACGTGGAAATCGTGGTTTATTATTATTTTTATTTTTTTTATAGAATTGACATTTTGGGGTAGTTAATTGTTGACATTTTTTTTTATCGAAAGATCATAATTTTAAAGGATTTTCCCGCTAATTTTACGTCTGGTTCAAGATGTGTTAGGCGCATGAAATGCCTTTCATAGTATAATAGTATAACTCCAAGTCTTATGTAGTACTTGAAAGAAAGTAATCTTTTTCTTCAACAATGAACCTGCACAAAAAGTGCAATATGTATCAATAAAAGAGTCAATAACTCAGTGTTTTATAAGGTACTCTGTATTATAAATGCATGTTGCCACGTAATGAGAGGAAAACAGCAATCAGACAGAACCCTAAACGTGAGGTTTGCAAGGTAACGGGTGAATACATTGTGAAAATGTTGTTAGCTGGTTACGGCAATGCAGTTATGACTACATAAACCAGCGCTTCTTAATTTTTTCTTAAACTCAAGGCCCACCAGTTGCTCTGTACTATAAAAAAAAACAACAGATAATGTTTAATTTCTCTGAAGATAATTTTGAATGAACTTTCTTATGCTTAATCGGAACTTGTTCAAATTTTCACTGACCGGTTCCTCTCAGTGTTGTGCTTCCATTTAATTTGATTTGATTTGATTAATTGGTTTCTGCATCTTTTTTCTTAATTTCATCATACATTTTCATGAACATAATATGGTTTGATACAATATTTTAAGTGTAAATAATTTTATACAGAAAATAAACGAATTTAAACAAATATATTGAATGCATAATTAACCTACATTAGATGCAGGAGGGCTACGGAAATTAACAACTAGATACTGGGATGGATTTCCCTCTTTAAAGTTGATACTCTAAGACAATCCCAAATATTGAGGTAATTACATCAATAGAAAGCTTTTAACCCCCAGAATAACACTAAATGGTGTCCAACTGACAAAAACAAGTTTAGAATGGTGAAATTATGCGAGTAAACTCTACCAAACTATCTAGTCTGAAACCCGGAAGTGCATGTAGAGTCGGGTCTCTATCCGTGACGTCACGAACGGCACCCATGGGCTCAGTGTGAGTGAATGACAGTGATATCCCTACGTAAATGCTATCCTGTCAGAGCTTAGATTTGTTGCTGTTAAGAAGTATTTTTGATGAATTTTCTGTTTTCATTTGAATGAAGAATAACGAAGCAACATTTTCCAGTCGCTGATTTCTCTTTATTTCCTCATATTCACCTATTTGGTAGAGATTTAAGACGAGATTACTGCTTGGAAAACAAGGTTAAATCATGCATGTATAGGCGGATGCATTATCTTGTCATACAGGAGCAGTTTTGTAAAACAAATAGGCCTAGAACTATGATAATATTTATCCTAGATGTGTGTGACTGCCTCAAAAAAGGATACAGTACCAGTTAAACATTTTATGTTATAAAATATCAAACTTGAACGAGATCATGCAAGCGCGCTTCCTCTATAATATTTTGACAACGTCTATTGATCGAACGATATCACCCGCGAGTGATGCGGCTCTGGCACGAACGTTTGTGAAGCGAGCAGAATCGGGAGGTATGACCAGGCCGCTGCTCTAGGCGCTGCTTGCTTGTGATGGAACGTACGTGCGCTAGTTATATGTTTATCGGCAATTGCAAGATAATGAAAGCGACGTTACCAGCTAAGAAAAACAACTAACAAAGACTTGCTCCTGACTATCGGTGTCAGAATTGGTAGATGAAGGATCTTCAGGGCCAAGGATGGCGGAAGATATGGGAAAAAGGAAGAAGAAACCATCGGGAGATCGCTGTATGCATGGTAATGAACTGTGCATGGGTCCATGCATGCACTTACCAGACAGCTACTGTTCACTCCGTGCCTGCACTGGGCCGATTTCAACACCAAAACAAAAATTACATGGTGAAAATATCGACTAATAGCACATCGTTGAATTGGCATGTATATGTCATAATTTTTAAAAGGGGAATTGATATTAATACTATGAAATATTAGGGGAAGGTAAAGAATTGTACATAGAATTATGATTTATTAGACTTTTCAGCCTTTGAAACAAAAATAAGCCGAAAATCGTATCACTCTGCACATGCTTTCTATGGAACATCCGGGTACGTGAATATACTCTTTCCCGGACGTGATATGTCATAATAGTAGACCAGCGCCGTGACTGATTTTCTATGCAAAGAGAGGCGGATATTTTCGACATTTCAATTAAGGACTTCGAGTAGCCAGAATTTTTTTGTGATATACTATGTAATTAAAAACGTATAAACAACATATGCTTGCCGTAGGTATCAACCCTTACAAAAAAAAATCTCTATGGTACACCATACAAACACCATAGCAAATCTACCATAGATTACCATACAAACACCATAGCAAATCTACCATAGATCTACCATTCATTTACCATAGAACTAATTAAAATAATTGGGACAAATTTATTCATTTATTCAAATTAGGCCACACCTACATATTCTACCATAGAGCCACCATTCATATACCATAGAGCCACCATAGAGTCATCATTCATCTACCATAGAGCCACCATTCATCTACCATAGAGCCACCATTCATCTACCATAGAGCCACCATTCATCTACCATAGAGCCACCATTCATCTACCATAGAGTCACCACTCATCTACCATAGAGCCACCATTCATCTACCATAGAGCCACCATTCATCTACCATAGAGCCACCATTCATCTACCATAGAGCCACCATTCATCTACCATAGAGCCACCATTCATCTACCATAGAGCCACCATTCATCTACCACAGAGCCACCATTCATCTACCATAGAGCCACCATTCATCTACCATAGAGCCATCATTCATCTACCATAGAGCCACCATTCATCTACCATAGAGCCACCATTCATCTACCATAGAGCCACCATTCATCTACCATAGAGCCACCATTCATCTACCATAGAGTCACCACTCATCTACCATAGAGCCACCATTCATCTACCATAGAGCCACCATTCATCTACCATAGAGCCACCATTCATCTACCATAGAGCCACCATTCATCTACCATAGAGCCACCATTCATCTACCATAGAGCCACCATTCATCTACCATAGAGCCACCATTCATCTACCATAGAGTCACCATTCATCTACCATAGAGCCACCATTCATCTACCATAGAGCCACCATTCATCTACTATAGAGCCACCATTCATCTACCATTCACTACCATTCAAAATATGCAACAAAATGTTACGCTTAATTGTAGCATTTTGAAATGGTATATTCAGAATGGTAGTTTGGATCTTGATCTATGGTTAGCAGAAATGTGGCTGTAGTGCGTTCTATAGTACACAGAATGGTGACTATAATATATTGAATTTTTGAGAAATCTAAACTTAAATGTTAACTTACAATACACACATTACGCTTATTAAAAAAATGAATTGAATGAAAGTTGCAGGATGTATTTGGAAGTTTATATCAAAAGTTGTATGCATGTATATGCTAAAAACTAAAATAAAAGGAAAGTAAAAAATATATCACATAAACATGTACACTACAAACTAAAATGAAAGGCAAGTTCGTAATTGCAACACATATTACTTGGACTTATTCTACTAAAATGTAATAAATACCCACATATATATCACCCTAGTTCCTCTAAATAATCGGCAAGTTAAAAAGAAACAACTAAAATGTCATATACAGTGTGTACGTAAACATGACTAAAATGAAAGGCAAGTTAAAAATCCTGCAGCACAGGATTGTTCTAAAACATTTATAAACATGTACAATAAAAACTCAAATGAAAGGCAAGTTCATAATTGCAACACATTACTTGGACTTATTCTACTAAGGTGTAATAAATACCCACATATATATCACCCTAGTTCCTCTAAATAACTAAAATGTCATATATAGTGTGTATGTAAACATGACTAAAATGAAAGGCAAGTTAAAAATGTATAAACATGTACAATAAAAACTAAGGCACTGAGTTGCAGCACAGAAATGTTCTAAAACATTGTATAAACATGTACAATGAAGTTCAAGTCAAAGAGGTTGTATGTGAGTTCGTAGAGGAGCAGAAAAGACAAGCATTGCTGCTCAGTTTTGGAGTCTCTGAAGGCGATCAAGGTCCCTCTGGCTGAGAACACTGAAGACCCAACCCTTTCTATACTCAAACTGTTTACATAATTTTGATAGACCCTCTGTGTCAAAAAATCTCCCCTGTATCGATCGGTATCACTACCCCCACCCCATGATTCGATGTGTAACCTCGTCTATGCCATGTTCCATCGTAGGGCACTGCCAGATCCTTGTCCATGGCCCTTTGACGTAGGCATGCTGCCACCTTCTTCTTCTGATCCTTACTGGTCTGCAAAAAAAAAAAGAGTTTGTAATAAATAACAAGTAAATTTCAAGTTCCCTCAGGCCCCTTACTTATTAGACCCTATTACAAATATTTAAATTTGATTAATTTTCATCCCTTGATTTGACAAGAAGGGATATTGATGTACATGTATTATACTGTCTATAGACCATAACTAAGAAATAAAAATATTTTGGATTAAATGTACATACAGCTAAGATAATGTAATGAAGAAAACACAAGGCTGGTGACTAACCTCTTGGGATAAGGAAGATAAAGTGGCTATGTGCCTGTTGTAGCTAGGGGCTTCGACTAGTGGGGCTGTTCCGAGGATGGTCAGCAAGTCGCACAAGCTATCCCGTGCCAAACCAACCTCCGTTGTTGCCAGAGTAGCTCTGCTGTTTATTTCTGCAGACTTTCCACGTCCTTCGTTTTCATTTTCTGATGAAGATAATGTCCTCTCCTTCTTGCAAATGAAGCAACCAAGGACCATGGCGCAGTTCAACCCATTCCTCTTTGACAAATTCTCCAGAGGAATGAGATGCCCTGTAAAAGATATCCAAAACACTTTATGGAACAGGGAAAATATTTTGAAAAGCACAATCCCCAAATAATAACAAAGTGCTAGTTATGACATACATGTAGTATATTACACAAATACACATTTTCACAGATTTCACGACAATTCCGATGCCCCTACTTCGATTCACCATAGAGTAAAGGAGGGGTTTTTCGGCCACTTAAGACAAAATCCTATTTTTTGGACTCTTTACTTCCTATTTATTATCATTTCTTGTTCAAATCATGAAGTAAATACTATTATTATTTAAACAAACAAAGAATCCCAGAAAAAAAAATCATGAATTGCCATGACAACGTTCATTTCCATTTTCACTGTTTCGTAGGTAGTTTTCGGCCTAGCGAGGCAGTTTTCGGCCGCATGTACAAAGTCAATAGGAAGCAAGCAAGCGCGCCATGCGTTTCCCCACTGATCTATAGCACTAGCTTCCCGTGCCGAAAACTACCTCAGCGGTGATCAGAAATTGGAATCTGAATTAGACAGAGATATCGTGTGTGCGCTGCGGTATCCGGCTGCATTGATTAAATACATGCGATGAGATACTTTTGAGCTTGCGACTCACACAAAATCGGACTCTAAATCTGAAAAATACTTGAAATAAAGCTCATTTTATGGTACCCATATTCCTTACACGCGTAAGAATCTAAGATACTTAATTTTTCAGATTCGGGGAGCGGGACCGCTGATTACATCGCTAAAATGTGATATTTTAGGATATATTTTCCATTGCAAATGTGGTTCTTCAGTGACTCTGGTATGGTATGGTATGTGTGGGATATATGGTATGCTGTTATGCGATGGATTTTAAAGGGATTTTACCATGCATCCAACGGATCGGCCGAAAACTGGTGATGGTCGATTACCCCCTCCTTTACTCTATTCTTAATCATTTGATTTGGCTTTTTGAGCCATTCACCCCTTGAGCATGCAATACAATCTCAAAGTAACAGTTTGCAAACTAAAAATATTGTTTGATAGTAAGTACATACCTCCCAGACACACGTGAGCCTTTTGCAAAGCAGCTGCAAGTTGTGGGCCACTAATGACGCGGATCTTCACATGTGGGACCAGGGCCAAAAATAGGGCTGTCCAAACACTTATTCAGGGAAAGCTTCCTCGATCTCTGAATTAGCTGTTAGTTCTTCTGGCACCTCTCCAGAATTCATGTTACTCTTCTGTAATATCTGGTATTGATCTCCTTTGAACACCTTCCTCTTCCTCACATATTTTGGAGTTTTGCGAAGCATTTTCAGTGAGTAGAAATTGGAGACCAACGGCTAGAACAGTTATTCAAATCTTGGGCACAAGGTGGCAGCAAACAGCCCTTGTTATCTACTTTCTGCTGATATACATTACTTGTTACAATTTGGTTTAGAATTTTTTATTTAATGATTTCTTTAATTGATTGAGACTAATTGAGTGTAAACAGAGGCAGTGGAGCGACTTCCAAAGTGGGGGGGGGGGGTCGGGGGGGGGGCACCAACAAAAAGGGCACTTTCTGGAGAAAATAAATAGGGCACCTACAAAGGGAAATCTCAAAGCGAAAATATATATTTAAAAAAAAAAAAATTGTATATACCCCCTATATTGTGATTACATTATCAGGGATGATTTGAATATTTTTTTTATCTTTATAAATAAGATTTATGAGGTCGCAGTGCGAAAAATTACATCAATTATAAAGAAGAAAAACCCAATCCTGATGGGTTTATTACATTATCATAACAGAAGACTGAAAAGACCTTTGATAAGTACCATAATTATAACATCTAGAAATGCGAGTGTGCTTTGGGTGATATTGCTCTTAGTAGCTGGAAATTAGGGGCACGTGATGAGAGGAAAAGGGGACACTTATCGAAAAGGGTGACACTTATTAGAAAAAAAAGGAGCACATGTCAAATTACAACGGGTAATTATCTGAGGTGAAAAGAAAAGGGGCACTTATAAGAGATGAAAAGGGGGTATTATGGGAAGGGGATGGGGCACTTAAAAGAAGGAAAAAGAGCATTTATTAGGAAGGGAAGGGGGCATTTATGATAAAGGGAAGGGGCTCTCTTTTAAATGGGGCAAAATAAAAGGGGCGGTTATTGAAGATGAAAAGAGCACTTATCAGGAGGAAAAGGGACACTTGTCAAAATAAAACGAGTACCTCTCAGAATTTAATAGGGTCATTTAATAGAGATGGAACGGGACTATGAGAATGAAGAGGGACTTAAGAATGAAAAGTAACTGTTTTCATAGGTGAAAAGGGGGCATTTATGATAAAGGGAAGGGGCTCTCTTTTAAATGGGGGCACTTGTTAGAAAGGAAAGGGGGCACATGTAAAAATATAAGGTGCGCTTATCCGAGTTAAACAAGGGGTAGTTATTAAAAGGGGAAAGGCCCCTCTCAGATTTGAATAGGGAAATTATCAGAGGTGAATGGGGCACTTATCAAAAGTGAAAAGGGGCACTTCTCGTATCTGAAAAGGGGCACTTACTAGAGATTGAAAAAGGGCACTTATGATAATGGAAAATGGACACTTATTGCAAAGGAAAACCGGAACTTATCGAAGGAAAAGGGGCACTTTAAAAAAAATAATAGGGGCACTTTTTATAGTAAAGGGGCCCTTTTTATGTAAAAAGTGCCACGTTAGAGCCACCATGGAGTCACTAACCACTAGAAATATATCATGAAGTCATCATCCACCATAGAGCTACTGCTAAAATATCTTATACCACAGGGATATACCAGTCAACTGAAATATCATACCGTAGAAATACCATACACCATACCCCGGCCCCCCCCCCCCACTCAGTGTTATTTAGGGTACGCATATGCTCGTTCCCTCTTTTTGAAAGCACCCCCTAACTGAGGACTGCCAACATTTTCGAACCCCCCTTTCGCGGGCTATTCGCGGGCTTTTCCTGCCTTGGAGACCCCCCTAAATCAGGAAAAATGCTCAATGTACCCCCTAAATTCGGAATAATTGCTCAGGAGTCCAAAGAGATGAGAGAAAAAAAGAAAAAACACCCCCATTTTAAAGAAATATCTGGGTGAAAAGTCAAATACACCCCTTTTTTTTTTTACAATTCTCGGGCCGGACTTTGTCGCATGAGAAGTACCCCTTTACCGGACATTTTGGCAACACGCATGCGGTCATTCCGACCCCTGAGTGGGGGGGGGGGGCCGGGCACCATACAGCCACCATAGAGCTACCATAGATCTACCATTCACTTTAGAGCCATTATAGAGTCACTAACCAACATTAATATACCATAAAGTCATCATCCACCATAGAGCTACCACTGAAATATCCTCCACCATAGGGATACCATTCAACAGAAATACCATAGAAATATATTCTACCATATGACATACCGTAGAAAAACCATACACCACACAGCCACCATAGAGCTACCATAGATCTACCATTCACTTTAGAGCCACCATAGAGTCACACAACCACCATAAATATACCATAAAGTCATCATCCACCATAGAGCTACCACTGAAATATCCTCCACCATAGGGATACCATTCAACAGAAATACCATAGAAATATATTTTACCATATAACACACCGTAGAAATACCATACACCATACAGCCACCATAGAGCTACCATAGATCTACCATTCACTTTAGAGCCACCATAGAGTCACATAACCACCATAGATATCATAAAGTCATCATCCACCATAGAGCTACCACTGAAATATCCTCCACCATAGGGATACCATTCAACAGAAATACCATAGAAATATATTCTACCATATAACATACCGTAGAAATACCATACACCATACAGCCACCATAGAGCTACCATAGATCTACCATTCACTTTAGAGCCACCATAGAGTCACATAACCACCATAGATATACCATAAAGTCATCATCCACCATAGAGCTACCACTGAAATATCCTCCACCATAGGGATACCATTCAACAGAAATACCACAGAAATATAGTCTACCATATAATATATCATAGAAATACCATACACCATAGGACGGCATCAATGATATATCATTGACCATAGAACTCCACCATTCAGCAATTGTGTGGTATACCATAGAAATATATTCTACCATATAATATATCATAGAAATACCATTCACCATAGAGCCGTACCATAGGAATATCATAGATTTTTTTTGTAAGGGAAATTAAGGGGCATTTATTTGCTTAGAATATCAGCTTTAAATTCGATGGGTAGATAAATACATGTAGATGGAGAAAGGTACATGTTGTTTTCTATGTGAGATTACCTTATTGAGTGCGGGGGATTAGAAGAGAAATCCACCCCCCCCCCCCCCCCCATTGAACATGACGTTTTCCCCAAGCTTCGTTATTCCATGAATGCATGGGTTTATATTATCGAATGTTCATCAATCCTTAAATTCGATAGAACGGCTTGAAAAACTATATTATTCTCGGGGTTATGAAACTGCCATATTATGACCCCTATTCAAATTTCGGAATTATGAAACCTTACAGCATTTTCGAAATTATGGACTGTTTGAAGAACGAACCATAGGAGTGGACAGCCCAAATGTTTGAGAGTTATTTACCCTATATAATTTTTGGCATAATAAACCACCGGGCCAGGAATTTGAAATTTGTGTTCCAGAATTATGAACCTTCATAGTATTTAACTGCGGAAAATAAGTGCCCTCATAATTATCGCCTAATTTTGTGTCACAAAAAAGAGGGTGGGGGGGGGGGGGTATAAATGATTACCAGGAAATCTGCATGTTCTGTATCCGGGAGGAATTCCTAACTTTCCTTTCCGTCTGGGGCAACCGTTAGCCGCCGTCGGAACAGGGATGAGCTTCGGAATCATCTGTACCATACTGCCGTTGGTGTGTTGCTTCGGCAGACACTCGTTGAACATTGGTAAGGTGTAGTTGAGTCCAAACAGATTCTTGTGGCAGGTTTGTATCCTTTCCATTGCATCTAATGGCGCGGGTAAGGCTGTGTGTCAGAATGATGATGATGATGATAATGAAGTTGACAATGATAGCGATATGATGATAGTGTTAATGGCGATGGTGGTGGTGGTGACGTCGATGGTGATGATGATTATGATAAAACGCAACCACCAACAAAAATATAGTAATAATGATGATAATGATGATAATAACAATAATAAAAAGAATTATAATGATAATAATAATATGATAAAAATAATATGATAATAATAATAATAATAATAATAATGATAACAAAAACAATACGGAGAAGAAGAAAAATGACAACAAACAAAAGTGTGGATTTTTAAATGGGGGTCTTAAGGTGGGGAAGGGCACTAACGGCAGTGACGGATCCAGAGGGGGGGGGGGGGTTCCCGGGCCCCTTCCCTGGGAAAAAACAGGTACAAATACGTTAATTTTACCTTTATTTTACCCCCTCCCCTGGCACTCAAAGGGAGGGGGCGATTTTTCCATCTATAGAATCTTATTTATCAACGCCGCCAGGAATTACTTAAACTAATAAAAACAAACATCTTTAATGATGATTTTAAACCTACACAACACACTTTTATAAACAAAGTGTACAGTGTATTCGAGGTGCTAAGTCTGAGACAAATAAACGAAAAGTAGGCAAAAAGATTTCTGAATACAAAGGAAAATTAAATTCCGTTTAAAAATAATAATGAAAAATATGATGTATGAGCGTATTTAAAGAATCGGGAAAAATATAAATAACAATAATTCAGAGTTTGGAATGTTAAGTTGAGAAGTAGGGTACATACCGACATAAATGAAGATTACTGTGCCATATATGCACTTCCAATGAAGCTTTAGTTCACTGGTCTGTAATAAGAAACAGGTTTTCATAAGAAATTATCACGATTTTAGATAATCAAAATTTACCACAATTTCTAAAGCCTTGAGCAGATCCTGGTACTACCAGTCTCTGGCTGTGTCAAAATAAGGAGTAGCATATGTAATATGTCGTCAGATTAGTATCAGAGTGCAGACACTGTGAGGCACAGTGGCAGACAAGACGCCGGATAATCGTGAAATCTAGGCTACAAACTTTTTTTCACCAAGATGGAAACTACTTCAGCGACTATTACACTGTAACCCTTAATAAAATATAATGAACATAACTTTTAGTTTTAGAATCATCATTATGATTATAAGCCATGATTCACATGAAATAGCTCGTATGGTCCTGTATACAAACATTTTCTTTTTTTTTGCCGTCAGTTCTTACCATTTTTGTGAATCCTCAGTCATGGAGTCCTTCACGTACGGATGATGATGCGCAATGGAACACTGTTTTCCCAAGTGTGACTATTCTCACATTTGGATTCAGTACAGCAGTTGCCTAGGTTACATAGGTTGCGAGCACAAAGCAACGTTCGCATTACGTTTTGCGTCGCGTAGGCACAGGATACCTGAACCCCTTCTAGTAGAAGAAAGATGGGAAGGCAGGAGAA